GCAAGCAGCTCCCAAGCCCTGGTCACAGAAACTAGGGGGAGAAGTAAAAGCAGAGGCCGGAACAAAAAATCCAGAGATAAATCACAATCTCAACCCAGAAGAAAATTCAAGTGTTATCACTGCGGTGAAGAAGGGCATATCAAAAGAAACTGTAATGCCTGGAAGAACAGAGATCGGAGAAACAATAAATCAGAGAACGATGAAAATACCGCAACCCTTGTGATCAATGGGGAAGTGGTGTTGCTCTCTGTTGAAGAAGAAGAGTGTCATGTTGCAGATTCATGTGTTGAATGGGTCATTGACTCAGCAGCATCTTACCATGCAACCTCTCACAAGGAATTCTTTTCTCTATACAAAGAAGGAGACTTTGGTAGAGTAAAGATGGACAACAACAACATTGCAAATATTGTGGGTGTTGGTGACGTGTGCATTCAAACTGATATTGGGTGCACAATAACAATGAAGGACGTGCGACATGTACCTGACTTACGTCTGAATCAGATCTCTGTGCATGCATTGGATCTAGCAGGCTATACTAACAATTTTGGTAGCGGCACATGGAGGCTTACCAAAGGATCATTGTTAGCTGCTAGAGGCACAGTGAGATCGACGTTGTACAGAACTCAAGTGAAGCTGATCAACGGTGGACTAAATGCAGTCGAGGATGATGCTTCACCAAATTTGTGGCACAAAAGACTAGCTCATATTGGTGAAAAAGGATTGCAAATTTTGGCAAGAAAGTCCGTCATTCCGTTTGCCAAAGATTCAAAACTAAATCCTTGTGATTATTGTCTCTTTGGGAAGCATCATAGAGTGTCTTTCAGCAAAACCTCGAAGCTGAAAGAGAATGTGTTGGAGATGGTGTATTCTGATGTATGTGGACCCATGAAGAGAAGAGTCTCGGTGGTAGCAAATATTTCGTGACGTTTATTGATGATGTTTCACGAAAATTGTGGGTGTATTTCTTGAGAAAGAAGGACGAAGTTTTTCAGTACTTCAAAAGGTTTCACGCTATGGTGGAGAGACAAACTGGTAAACCTTTGAAGTGTCTTCGCTCAGATAATGGAGGGAAATATACTTCTCATGAATTCAAGAATTATTGTGCTAATCATGGAATTTGGCATGAAAAGACTGTACCTGGAACCCCACAACATAATGGTGTGGCTGAAAGAATCAAATAGAACCATTATGGAGAAAGTAAGGTGTATGTTAAGAATGGCTAAGCTACCTATGCCATTCTAGGGTGAAGCTGTTCTAACGGCGTGCTACCTGATCAACCGATCTCCATCTGTTCCTTTGGGCTTTGATATCCCTAAGAGAGTATGGTCCGGACATGATGTTAAATACTCTCATTTGAAGGTGTTTGGATGCAAAGCTTTTGCTCACATAAGCAAGGAACAGAGACGAAAACTTGATGATAGAGTCATTCCTTGTATATTTATGGGCTATGGAGATGAAGAATATGGCTACAGGTTATGGGATCCAAAAAAACAAAAAATTGTCAGAAGCAGAGATGTAGTGTTCCATGAGCAAGAAACTATGTCTGATTCTGCTTCACCAGAAATCAGAGAACCAGGTGGTAAGGTGGATCTTTCACCTGTTCAACCTCCTAGAGATGCCACAGTAGGGGGAGAGTGTGATGGAGAACTCAGGGTTGATGATGAACCAGCAGTTGAAGATGGTGATGGTGAAGGTGTCGAGCAAGAAGACCTCGAAGCTCCTCCTCAGCCCAGGAGATCAATCGAGTGATCCAACCACCTACGAGGTACCCTAGTTCCACATATATTACCATCACTGAATAGGGGGAGCCAGAAAGCTTTGAAGAAGTACAAACTCATAAGGATAAATCCCAGTGGATGAAAGCTATGCAAGAAGAAATGGATTCACTGGTGAAAAATGAAACTTATGAACTTGTGAAGCTTCCGGAAGGCAGAAAAGCCTTGAAGAATAAATGGGTGTTCAAGCTTAAGAAAGATGGTGACAAACTGTTGAAGTACAAGGCTCGCTTAGTCGTGAAAGGATTTGGACAAAAGCGAGGAATAGATTTCGATGAAATCTTCTCACCGGTTGTAAAGACGAGCTCTATTCGAGTAATACTCTGACTTGTGGCTAGCTTGGATCTGGAGCTTGAACAACTAGATGTGAAGACTGCATTTCTTCATAGAGACCTAGATGAAGAAATCTACATGGAGCAACCAGAAGGATTTGAGAAGACTGGAAAGGAGCACATGGTTTGCAGACTGAAAAAGAGTTTGTATGGATTGAAACAAGCTCCAAGACAGTGGTACAAGAAATTTGACTCGTTTATGGCGAGCCATGGATATACGAAGACTGATGCAGATCATTGTGTGTTCGTTAAGAAATTTCCAGGTGATAAGTTCATTATCCTTTTGTTATATGTAGATGATATGTTGATTGTGGGACAGGATATGAAGTTGATTGTTGATTTGAAGAAGGATTTAGCAAAGTCCTTTGATATGAAGGATCTGAGCCCTGCGAAACAAATTTTGGGCATGCAGATCAGGCGAGACGAAAATCTAAGATGTTATGGTTATCGCAAGAACGGTATGTGAATCGGATTCTGGAGAGATTCAACATGAAATCGGCTAAACCGGTCAATACACCGTTGGCCAACCACTTCAAACTCAGCAAACGAAGTTGTCCTACGAGTCAAGAAGGAAAAGATGCTATGGCAGGTGTTCCATACTCCTCAGCAGTCGGGAGTTTGATGTATGCAATGGTTTGTACTAGACCAGATATCGCTCATGCGGTTGGAGTTGTTAGCAGGTATCTTTCCAATCCAGGGAAAGATCATTGGGAAGCTGTGAAGTGGATCTTAAGATACCTAAAAGGTAGTGCAAATAAATGCTTGAGCTTCGGTAAAGGAAACCCAGTTCTTGAGGGTTATACAGATGCGGATATGGCAGGTGACCTAGATAGTAGAAAATCTACTTTAGGGCTTGTGTTCACATTTGCAGGAGGAGCTATATCTTGGCAATCTAAACTGCAGAAATCTGTTGCTTTGTCAACTACTGAAGCTGAGTATATTGCACTGACAGAAGCGGAAAAAGAAATGCTTTGGTTGAAGAGGTTTCTTCAACAATTGGGAATGAAGCAGGAGAGGTACGATATCCATTGCGACAGTCAGAGCGCATTGGATTTAAGTAAGAATGCGATGTACCACTCTCGCACGAAGCACATTGATGTCAGATATCATTGGTTGCGTCAAGCAGTGGAAGAACAACAGTTCAAGTTGAAAAAGATTCACACTGACGACAACCCTGCTGACATGATGACGAAAGTGGTAATAGGAGGAAAACTTCAGCTTTGTGTCGAGTTGATCGGCATGGTTTGCATGTGAAGATATGCAGTATATTTCCCTTTGGCTGGAGGGGGAGAATTGTCAGAATATGTCACAATCCAGCCAAATTTGACCAGCTGCATTTTCATTAAATTAAGATAAACTTATGGTTGTAATACAACATCAAGTTGGAGAAATTAATGAGCATCATTAAATGGCCGAAATTGAGTGCGGCTGTGGGCTGAAAATTTTGACAATTTGGCAAGCATTTCTCCTATAAATAGATGGCACCGGGCAGATCAAAAGGATACACCAAAGCGAGAAAGAAAAAGAAAGCAGAAACACAATTCAGTTTCTGGAGTGTTAGATTTTTCAGTGAGTTGTAAAATAGAGTGTTTGAGTAAATCCTGTGAGTGTGGGAAAAATACACCGGGTGGGGTATTATTTCTATTACTCCTTGTTTGTAATATTTGAATAGGAGTGGGGTCTCACTGGGTCACTATATTTTACATTTCTAGTGTACAGGAGTGTGAAAAGATATTGTAATTATCTTGAAAATATAGTGGAATTGTTCGGAGATTGTCCGTGGTTTTTTCCTCTACATTGGAGGTTTTTCCACGTTAAATCTTGATGTCTTCTTTCTTGCATATTTTATTTATTTTGGATATTCTTAGTATGCTCTGTGGTCGCAATTTAATCTGATCTTCCACATCAGAAAAGAATTATTCCTGTTTTATTGCAAGAAATTTTCTTTTGTCATTCTTAAGTTGTTGTGAGATTATTATTTTTATTCACCATTTCACGTTGGTGTTTTAATTTACACCTTCCGCATTTGCGCATCTGAGCCCAACAAAAACGAAACTACTATGCCAAAAGAATATTGTCATTATGTAATAATTATTGTACGTTTGCTGAATAATATTCGGTTTTTACACTACATCTTTCATTTTCTTTATTTAAATCTCCAAAAATTAGTATTGTACACTTTGAGGTAGGAAATAAAACAAAGTTGTGTTGAATATAGCTTAAAGAATTCGTATCTAGAAATCATGGATTGTAATTGTGTGGTTGAACGGCGAGGAGTCATTCATAAATTCTAGTAGATACAACCCTACAATACCAGAGTAACTTCCTTTTGAGACAAATTTGGAATTCAGTATGTTATGGTGTTTTAACGGAATTTCTTTTTATTAGGTGGTTAATTGTGTCTTTTACCCTAAAATAGGTACAAAATTAGGGAATTAATTTTATTTCGAGGAAACTTGTTGGCCTGATATTAATCCTATAACCAATTATCATTTCAACTAAAAAAATAGAAACAGCATAAGTGGATTGGGCTATGGGCACCCGTAGGGGTAGCATCGAATTAACGTAATGGTAACCACTTTTCGTTGGTTCCTTGACGTGATATATAGTTGCTACCATCATTTTATACATCTATATATTTCCATTTCCATTGTTTAATTGTTTTGTTCTTGTATCTGTATCATTGAACATTAATGATAAATTTTTGACTTTATCTTTTTTTAAAACAACTCGTTTCCTATTAGAAAATATGTCTCATTCTGTTGTTTTGAATTATTTGTTTGCACTCATTCATGCACTAAATGGTAAACCACGGAGGATCGAATCAAATGATAATGAGGAAAAGTGAATATAAATATGAAAAGATTGTAATTATAAAACGAATTAAAAATGACCAACATGTATAGCTTACAGTTAAAATATGTAAGGGCAATGCTAAATGTACAATTATAGTTGACAACATTACTTAAAATTTTCAATGTACATCTGAACCATCCACATCATGCCACATCTTTTTTCTATGAAATGTTGTACAAAAATTGTACAGGTAGCATTTTCAAGAACGTAAACACTAACAAGTACATTTAAAATTTCTCTTCTCATACAAACGAAACGAACATTGAAGAAAAATTACATTTAGTTCATATAGTGCAACGGCATATATATGTATAAAAATATATATGCCTAAATTTGGCTAATTAATAATATGTAAATATACATACAGCTCTCTTTTCAGTTTATAAACCTACAATCCTTTCTGACCTCTTGTCCTCCATTGATGCTGCTCATCTTGATCATGGACTTGGCAAATGCGGTGTGGAAAGCTTTTTTGGAGGTAGCAAACTTATAGACTAAACTTTTTGTTTGTGGCGTGGTGAGAAGAGCTTGGTCAGAAGAGAAGAGAGTTTTACCATGGAGTATGAGTTTATAGTGGGTATTGTCGAAGGTTGTAGGAGAAGGATCCATGGAGGTGCCCGCATTCTTGGCCTTGTTATTGACGGGGCAAATGCCTTTTAGGCTCGCCGCAAAAGATGGGTGCATGCTCGGGTCCGTGTCATGGGTCGAGTTAAAGTTGTAGATTCTATTTTCGAATGATGAACAGTGTGAGAACCCTAGAGTATGCCCACCTGCACCACATATGTATATATTTAGGAAAAATGCTACAAATACATTTATTAGGGCATCCGCAACGGTCATTAAAACCATTCATTTAAATGCTCTTTTAACGTTCAAACCAATGTGAGTGCGTTCATTTAATGGTGTAAATTAAAAGTCCCACCACTATCATTCATACCATTGAATGGCTATTTGCAACTTTTTTTTTTATTTTTTTATTTTTTTTCTCTTCAGCCACCACTTGCAAGCATTTTTTTATTCTCTTTTTGTCCTTTTTCTTTTTTTTTTTCAACGGCTTAAAATTTATTATTATAATTTAAAAATATTAAATTTTTATTTTTATTGAGAATAGAATATTAAAATTTATATTGAATGAATGGATATAATGGGTCCCATATTTGTATTTAAATGAATGTGTAGGGGTGTGGGTGTGTGTTTAAATGGAGAGAGAATTAGTGGAAAGGTAATGTGGAAATGATGTGGAAGAGAGAGAGTGTACTTTTTTGATTGAATGAATGGGAAAAAAATTAACAAATGCAGATGCCCTTATGTACATAGAGGTGTACATAACACTCAATAGGGTGGGGTCCACTTGATTTTTTAATTTTGGTAAGACTCACTCAATGTGAGTGTTATGTACAGTATTATGTACCTATAGCATTTCTCATATTTTAGTAATTAATCAACCTACTTAAATTCATAATATGCAATTAGTTTATCATACTTGGCTTTATAGCCATTGTAATGAAAAGATAAAACAAAAAAGTAGTCTTTTATTAAAAAAAATGATTATAAATCTCTCTTTCGCTTTCTTTCTCACACAAACCATCAAATGACCAAAAAATATTATTAACATGTAAATAATATTATTAATATTATTAAAAAAATATTATTACCTGTAAGAGCAACGAGGTCATGTAAGGAGAGGCCTCTTAGAGCAAAGCTTTGTTGGAGCTGAGAAATGTTGAATGTGGGAGATGGCAACTGAGCAGTGTCAGTGGCTTCTGATGTCCTTCCATCCTTCCTTCCTTTTGGAACATTCCATGTGGGTCCTCCGGACTGCAGTACAACCCAAAAACTTACTATAGTTTTTATTAAAAAAAATGGGGTGTATTCGTTGAGATTTGTAAAGACTTTTAAAGAATTTTTAAAAGTATCTAGGTATTAATTTGAGATTTTAAAAAGTCTCATTGAAGTATTTAAATTATTTATGAGACTATGATTTGTTAAGACTTTTTAAAATATGATGAGATTTCAAAAGGAAAAACCATATGAAATCTCACTCCAAATCTCACTTAAAAACTTAAGATTTGATATAATATACTTTCTAAATATGAAAAATCTTAAAAGTATCAAATATTACTCAAAATCCTAAAGGAATACAACCAGAGTGTTATAGAAGTAAATAAAAATCTATTACTCAAATTCTTGCTTCCTTTTATTTTGCTACTTTTTAACATGTAACATTCAATGATTTGTTTATAAATTTTAAGAGATTCTTAAATTTTTTAAGAATTTATGTTCAAGTTTAGTAAGGTTCTTTCTCAAATGATTAGTTTTATTTATTTATTCTATATTTGATGATTTTTAGAATTATTCTCAATTTCTTAGTTTAATTTTTAAAGCACTAGTGTGTAACATTCAATGGTTTGTTTATAAATTTTAAGAGATTCTTAAAAGTTTTTAAGGATTTATGTTCAAGTTTAGTAAGGTTCTTTCTCAAATGATTAGTTTTATTTATTTATTCTATATTTGATGATTTTTAGAATTATTCTCAATTTCTTAGTTTAATTTTTAAAGCACTAGTGTGTGGTTGAAATAATGCAGTTAATTTCTATGTTAAAGGCAATGCTCGCTTGGTCATAACACGACCAGCAACCCAGTCCACCGACTGGACGAATTTTTTTTGGACTAAATTTCATTTTTGTTACATTATGTTGGTCATTTTCCGAAAAAGGTCCATCATATAGGATATCATCAAGAATGATTCACTAAATTGTCACTTTCATCAAAACTCGTACAATAGCCAATATAGTGTACTAAAAATGGAAACTAAAAATGATCACTTTTAGTATACTATGCTGATTTTTGTACGAATTTTGATTAAAGTGGCAACTTAGTAGACCATTCTTGATTACGCCTTATATGATGGACATTTTATGAAATATGACCAACATAGTGGACCATTTTTAAAATATTGCGATTTTGGTTATTTTCTTTTACAAGGGATAATATCTCTCTCTATATATTAATTCAAAATGTGTTGAGCCCAAGTGACATGCTCATACACTTCGGATGCTGACATGACAAAAATCTACGCTTTAGAATGTTGTTTGTATATTAATTTTTTTGCTTTAGAAGTAGGCTTGATATAGACATAAATAACTTTTTTTAAACTTGGTAAGTGTACATTTAATTTTTTTTTTTTCTCTCAGTACAAATTTCTTTATTAATTTGGCAAGTACAATCTTACCATCTAATAATTTTTTTCTCATATTTATCTCTTAAATTACGATTTACAAATTACTTTCTGCACTTTCTATTCTTCGTTTTTTCATTAATTAGTCCATCAAAAATTTTAAATAAAATATTTATTTAAGCAATAATTTTTATAGTATATTTTTAATTTAACACTCGTGTAATACACTGGTATTGTGCTAGTTAAAACTTAAAATTTATATGCTAACTATTTATATACATTATATTTATGAACAGTAATTAGAAAAGAGCATATATTGTAAAGTTCCAAAAATATTATGACTGGATTTGGGAGCAGTGTTCGGCTCCATGTTAAAAGCAATTATTAGAAGTACCTATTTAACAACCACTCTTATTAATCCAAAAAGTGGCGCATGCCAGTGGAGGAGTAATTATGACATGTTTTGGACACAATAATTACAATTTGTTAGCGTGATAGGTTGGTT